CCGGGGCAGCGGCCGTCCCGGGGTGCGGGCGCGGCGCGGAGGCCGCGGGGTCGAGGCCGGGCGCGGGGTGAGGGGCAGGGAAGGAGCGGTGGGGCGCCGGGGGGAAGGGTGCCCTGGCGTGGGGGCGGGGGCCGGCCCGGGGACGCTGGGGCCGGGTGTTTATGTAATGGGACCCAGGCCCGAAACCGCCGGGGCGAGGAGGGGTCGTGGAAAAGGCGGGAGCCCGCGTCCCGGCCAAAGCCCTGCTCCGGGGCCTGGACTGAGGCGAGTTGCCCCGAGCGACCCGGTCGCCGAGAGAGCCGGGACGCCGCTGAGGCCGCAGCGTGCGTGGTCTGGGAGGGCCGGCGCAGCCACCCAGCAGGGCGGATGGTGCCCTTCCCGTGCCAGAAAAATTGCTTGGATTTCTGAGGCCCAGCGATCACGCTGCCTTGAAGGGAACTGAAGTTTGTACTCAAGTTTGTAGACAAAAGGGTGTAAATATGCTACATAAGTGTAACTGTAACCCTGACCCAGTTCGGCCTCGAGATCTGTCATTGCCGCCGCCGCTGCTGCTCAGGCGTTTGCAGTTTGCTTGTAGTGTTAGAAAGGGAGCAGGTGTCAAACGGATTTAAACGAATATCTTTAGATCTGGTTGTTTTCCCTAGCTCCACTTTCAGAAATAGAAAAACGTGCCAGAGTTGGCCCTGCTTTGAGGCAAGGCCTTCATTCAGGCAGCAGCCAAGGCAACGTGAAAGTCTCTTTCCTGCTAAGGTCGTAGGCTTTTAGTATGCAGGAGTTTCGGCTGAAAAACGATCATCTCTAGCATAGCCATCCCCTAATCTCGAGATTTGGAATGCACGTGAATAGGGGGCAGGGAGGGGAACTCTCTTTATAGACTTGATAGTATGTCAGATGAGAACCTTGGAAAGTAATTGAATTAAAAACAGTAACGTCTGTCCTGTGTTGGTAAGAGAACAGAACTATGCTAGTACTCTTCAAATGATCTGTTTTATCTAATTTGCTATTGAAAATTCACTGGACTTCATAAATCAGTTTAGCCAACATCTAGGTTTTACAGCTGATGCTTTTCAAATATAAAGTTTATCGTTTATCCTGAGAATCAGAGGTCGAATTTTTTTCATGATGAAAACTGATGGTTTAGCCTTAATATTCTTT